ATATAAATATTACTTTAATTTCTCATTTTTATGAATAATTAATGAATTTTAAATCCCAAATTGTTTCCCACAGGACCAAAACAGCACTTTTTTTGTATTCTGTGCTCAGAGTGCGCTCTATACCTTTTCAGATAAAAGTCTCTTGAGTGCATTATGTGAGCACTGGCTTCTCTTTAAGCACTGTACTCCCACTTTCCCCCAGGTGTGCTCTTGTGCACTTTAGTGTCTGATCTTAAATACCCCGACTTGTTCAATGTCTGCGCCGCCACATTCCTCTGAAATCACTTGAGTATTGAAGGTTTGCACTTAACAATGTGATGGCTGAAGAGGTTGAAATGGAGTCTGACGTTGAACTTTTGTTCAGTCTGCAGTTCACCGTGAACACTGCTAGATGGCAATCACGCAGCATCTATTACGAGAGTCCTTTGAAAATGGATGGAGAGGACTGTTCTGTGCTTTTCCCACGCACACACAATAATATATGACCCTCACTTTGAACAGAAATTGCTTGAGGGCCTCTATGGACAAGGATGTATGTGTTTGGACTTGAGTTTGCCTGTATGAGATACACAAGTATGAATTACTGTGGGGTATGGCAAGTATTTATCATCTAATGGCTTTTTAATTGTCTCAGCATGAATGGATCAGTATCACCCTGAAGTCCATTAAAACTTTCTCATATTTTTGGAAGCAAAAGTTTTGGATTCACATCTCATATGTTACCTCCCAGTGCAGATTCATATCATTTTTGGCTTCATGCACTAAAATGCACACCATAACTGACCCTATACCTAAACAGGACCACGACTTTGTTCACACCGCAAGCCTTGGTGCTCAATTCTGATTTATTGTGCTGAACTGAACTGCATTCGCAAAAGTCGATAACATAGATCATCGTAGGAAAGTAAACATGAAGGCCACTGAAGTCAGCGTTTATGGTTTCATACATCCAGCGAATTCCTGAGCAGATGATAAGGAGGATGAAGATAAATAAAAATCAGATGTGGGCCTGCAGTGTGAACGTCCTCTATAGAGCCTGCAGCCATGCTATTGGCTCTGTGAGACTGCATAGGCACAGTGGTGCTTTGAGCTAAACGTTGACGTTAGCGTGCTAACATGCTCACAATGACGATACGAACATGCTAATGTTTAGAGGGTCTAATGCTGGTCATGTTCACCATCTTAGTTTAGTGGGTTAGCATGATAACATATGCAAATTAGCACTAAACTCAAAGTACAGCTGAGGCTGAGGGGAATGTCATTAGTGTTGCAGGTATGCCGTCATAAACCACAGTATTGAACAAATTGTAATTGTGTATTGATGATGACGCCAGACGAAAAGTTAGAGGATCACCAAAGCCAATAGGAGTCGTCAGATTAAGTCCATTAATGGGTGCACAAAATGACATCGATCCATCCAATAGTTGTTGACCTATTTCTCTCTGAACCAAAGTGGTGGACTGACCAGCTAGCTAGCATGGCTTTAAAACAGTATTTTTGGAACGCCTGTTATGCAATAAAGGGCAGTTACAGAGAAAGTGCACAGAGCAGTACAGCTCTGTCAAGGCCGGAGTCTTGCTTGGGTTCTTTTATACCTGACCTTATCCGTCATGTTGTGTTGTAGTTTCTCCCATTTGTCTTCTTCTACTTCTTCTTCCAATGGACAGAGAGCTCCAGAAGAGAGGAGAGGAATTGTATCTCTGCTCAGCTTGCCACGGGCACTCTTCAATATTTAATCAAGAGTGCATTTGTTTGGCGAGAGCTCTGAATATGTGTGTGAGTGAGTGATAAAGAGAGATGTCTGACCATGTGTGTGTGGATACTGTATTTGTATGCAGGAGAGATGCAGCAGAAAGTGTGTATGTTTGCGTGTGCGGTGACATTTTTAGGATGAAAGGCTTTCTCCAGCCCTTTGGTAATTGGTTTACTATCTCTCTCTCTCTCTCTCTCTCGGCTTCGGCCCTCTTGTTCCTCTCGCACTTTCTTTCCCCGTCTCCTCCTTTACTCCACTTCCCCTCCCCCTATAATCCATTCTTCTCCCTGTGCATCATCATCTCCATGTACTGTATAGTATGTGAGCACAGCTATGTAGGGCTCATTCATTCAAATGCTGTACTTTCAGGTCTATTTGATTTTGCTGTGTGTGCACATGTGGCTGTACATGCATGTGTGTGTGTGTTGAATCGGCAACGGGTCTCCGTGGTCCCCAGAGACCGCAGAGCAGCATATTTCATCATCCTCCAGACTTGGCACAAGAAAGCCCAAAGTCCCTTCCTCTTCTTTTGCTTCTTCAGCAATTCAGAAAAACACTGAGTGTTTTCCTTCTTTTCTTCTTTCACTTTCAGGCGTCTGCTGGTGCTGTAAGTCTAAACAAAAATACTGCTGCTTTCTTCAGATTTACTGGAGTTTTATTAAAGTTACTTGTCATATACTAACTCCTAGCTGAAGTGCGTTGAAAATGAGCTTCTGGACTTCTCTGGAGAAAGAATGACGATTATCTTTACTTCTTCTCAGTCGAGACAAATTTGACACATGTGAACTGTGCAATGACAATTCCACAAATTATATTCAAAATGTCCAATGGCTTGGTTTATTTTAGTGCATGTAAAACCTTCAGTGGCATTTATGGCAGCACTTGCCTCAACACTAATATGTCCCCAGTCACAGCTGACCGTAGCTTCACGGCTTCTTCTTCAGCGCTGTCCGTCAAAGCTGTCTGAACGATGATCTGAAACGAACCGATGGGCTTTCTGTTCTCAGTAATCGGGTTTAGTTTGTCTTTTATAACTTTGGTACATTATGGCATAAATGAGGCCTGGCCAGATATTAGGGACCATGAACAGGTTGACAACATTTTCTAAATTGGGCCCCTCATCCACACCCACTCCAGGTTGTCTAGACACCAGTATTTTCCCTCTAGAATTAAAACTGAGCCCACTACAGCAGGTTTTGCTCCTCACCTTTGCCACGTTCATCTTCGCCCGTCATACGTCTTCATTGCCTCTCTGCTCCTTTCCTTTTCTTGTTCCTGGAGCCGATCCCATAATACAGCAGCTGCCGCTGACATGCTTTTCTATATGTTTTGGGAAAGACTGCATGGCAACAATAAATGTATCTGATTGAACGTCTGAAGCTCAATAATCTATTATGAGTCTTGGTTAAAGGGTAAGCATTGTGTCACACATGCAGCTATTTGAATCAGAAAAATATATATCAGTGACAACAGCTTTGTTGTGTTGAACACCAGACTGCAACAAAGTGGCCACAGGCAGAGTTGAAGAGTCAGTGGAGAGTGAAACTTGGTGCATCTTTACTTGCATGCATACTGTATGGACTTTCAGATTTTGTCAGTGTGTAATGTCAGCATCATCATGAGAAATGTGACACTGACAACCAAAGTATGGAGAGCAATGGAGGCAGTGAGAAAAAGTCGTCATTGCGTATCTCCGTTATTATGCACATAACTGTTTTTTTTTTTAACATATTTGTCTGGATTTAGCAAAAAAACTTGCATTTAGCATGTCGATGGATGAAGTGTTACAGTTCACTTTTGATCTAAACAAAAATAAAGAGTTTTTCCTCACATATGCGTGTGTGTGTGTGTGTGTGTTATTCAGACGCTAAACAGCACGCTGGCCCGTTACATCCGACAGCTATGCTGTTGGTATAATCGGAGTCCCTGAAAGGGGCCAATTATCCCAGATTACAAATACTATCAGGAAAGCAGACTCGACGTCTCAGTGATACAAGCGAACCCACTGCACTCACGCTGAACTCTGCTCACATTTATGTCATCTGGAGCCTCTTGGATCTACAGAATTCAAATTAATTATCTTTTAGACCATCTTCATTTCTAATCTGTAATCAAATTGAATGCACTTTCTTCAACTTCCCAAGAGAGCGGAGTTATTTTTCAAGCCATAGTGAACTCGTTATTATTAATCCCATGACTCCTTCGCTGCTGCAAAACGCATGGTTTTGATTTGCGTGTTGCATGAAAAAGAGCTTGCGCACCCTTTTTAATAATGTTGGATACAGATTTTTTTTGATTTTTTATTGATGATGTGGTACATTTAAAAACAAATGGTTACATTATTGGCTACAGGCGTTAACTTTTCCGGTCAGGTTAAAACATAGGAGGCACACACTGGGGCTTGCTTAAACCTCCACTATGACCAGCATGTTATGCAAACACACACTGCCTCTGACAAAGGAAGCGGAAAGAGGACTATTAGCATTATGAAAATGTATAGGGTGGGGAACTACATGGGAGACATGGTGTCTCACCTTCAACACCTCACAGGGTGGAGGGTGGAGACTCTCTCACGTTTCAGCTCACCTCCTTTCTGCCTCAGGTTAAACTGCGATGAACAAAGCTCCAGGCTCCACCTAATTCTCACAGTCGGTGTAAAATACAGCTCCAAACCTGGGACACAGGCTTTGCCATTTAGCACATACACCCCCCCCCCCCCACACACACACACACAGACATACACACTGTGGCTGCTCTTTGTTTACTTTTGGAAATTTGAGCCAGGTAATGTGGTGATGTAGCCCTCCCAAGTGCCTTAATTTTCTCCCCCCCCCCCCCTATATTTAGAAGTGTTTTGAGTTCACAACGTGTGACATAGATAAACATTAAAATAATACTAAATGTCGACTGCACCAGTAGGCTACAACAGTTTACATGTGACGGTTTGAAACGCATCCCGCGCTTTTCTTTCATCGGACTGGTCAGAGAATTAAAAGGTGGAAGTGAGGCAATTTTTCTACCTGTGACCCTCCTCCACACACACACACACACACACACATCAACCTGGTAATAGTCGCCTACTGAGGACTACGACGCGTGAGCCTTTGGGTGGAGCAGCAACGTCGCGTGCTGCGGAATACATTCAGTGGGTCGTTAGAGCTGCGCGCGGTTTGGTTGCAGATGCAGGTCGCTGCGTGCGAGCGCGAGGCGGAATATGGCGAACGAGCGCGGGCGGCGGTGCGCCTCGTGAGGATACTGTAGACACCCGGTTGCGGTGGCAGGCGGCGGCTCGAGAACGGACCGGAGACGGAAAGGAGCCATGGAGGACTCGGAGCCCGCAGAGGACGGCTTGCTCGCGGGCTTGCGATGGAACCGGAGCACACGGGACCAGGCGCAGCTGAAACACAAGATACGGGATCTGCCAGGGCTGCTCAAGCACGGGCTGCACCTGCGGAAGAAGAGCGTGAGTATTTCTCAGCGACCACTGACCGACTGTCCGTCCTTCCGTGTGTGTTGTGTTTGATGGACATTAGCAGCGGCTGACGGGTTTTTACCTTTGCAACCGCGAGTTTCCCCGACACCGCTCCGTGCCGTGAGGCTGTTTCGTAACCCCGTCACGACTCAGGTGGTTTCATTTTGTTACGAGCATTACTGTCGCAGAGGCTGTGTGTGTGTGTGTGTGTGTGTGTGTGCGCGCGCGCGCGCGTGTGCTCGCGTGCTACATCCATAATAACTAGATTTGCTGTTGGACACCATACCTTCACACTCCGGTAGTCAAGGCAACACTACCCCCCCCCCACACACACACACACACACGCACACACGCAACACACGCACTAAACAATGCATAATCTCTGAATCTGTTTTTTTAAATTTAAATTAGGCTATATTTTGTTTAGAAATATGTGAAAACGCTGAAATACCTTCAAATGTCTTAGTCATACAAATCGTTTCAGCTCTATTCTGTAATAAAACTATTTAATTAATCAACAAAAGAAATCCTCTCATGGGTTCTCTGGTTGTGTTTTGTGATGACTGGTCTAGTAAGCAGTAAATGAGTGTGACTCGGTGTGCGCTGATGTGGAACGAACACACCTGACAAGCCTAATATCTGCTGGCAGTGTCTCTGCTCATCTTCATCATCGTCATCGTCTGTGGCAGCCAGGAGAAAAATGTGCCCCTGATTGCCTCTGTGGGAATCGGAGACAGAGTGCCAACACTTCCCGTCCCACTGGTGCCAGAAATGTGCTAAATATATGCAACATTTGTGATGAAAAGCCACTTTGGGCGGAGGAGATGAGCAGTTCATGTCGTGTCGTGCAATTTGTTATTTTAAGTGACGTTTAAAGGAGTTACATTTTGAGGCTGCTCAGTGTTCCTGTTACCTGTTTAATACGATTAGCACGTTAACATTAGGTAATCCTATAATCAACTGCAGAACAGAATATGCAAATGTGAGACCAGACAGACAACATTACAATGAAACCACAAGGAATAGTTTACTATTGACTATTGCAAAAATATGAAGTTACACCAACCACGTACAGAGCTGGATCCCACTCGAAATAGCCGAAAGAAGGGAACACTGAGTAGAATGTGGAGTTTTCCTTCTTGTGTCTTCATCTAACTTGGTGTGTGTGTGTGTGTGTGTGATGAGGCGTGGGTAAGTAGTGTAAAGGTATGGCTGTTCTGTGCAGACTGGTTCTCTCCAGTTGGCTATGGTTCACCACACGCACTCAGACAGAAACACGCTTGTTTTTGTATGCATGTATAAGTTCTCCAAAAAGATGTGAGAGAGGAACTGCCACGGACTGTTTTTGCACTGCAATGAGAATTGGAAACGGTAAACAGTATCTCAAATCACAGCATCTCTTCCAGAGTTGGACACCTGCACACCTGTTTACCTGGTTTGTTGTTCCCTGCAGAATATTGGGCTTTTGTTTGTTTTTATTCTAATACTCGGGGAGCTCGGTAAAAGTGCAAAACATCCGACACAAGCAAGTTTTCACATTACCTCGTGCGCTTCTTTGATGTTCGCCGACAGCCTATATGACGTGAAACTGTTGTGTTGCACAGAGCCATCTGTCGCCTATGGTTCCAGCCTGCAGCACAGAATCCTGTCTCTCATTCCTCTCTGTTGTGACTTGCTGTGGCCTTCATCATTTATTGGCTGAGATTGAGATATTTGCATAAAGGAAATGACTTTTTCGACTTTCAGTACACTTCCCAGGGTGCTCTGTACAGTAGCCGCGCCGTAGAAGTTGACACCATGGGAGAACGTGGCTAGTTTTCTTCCTTTTAGCTCCACAGCTCAGCCAGGTGTCGGCTTTGAGAGACACCTAATAGTCAAGCCAAAAGTCACTTATGGATGGATACATATGTGCTGTGGACTTCACGTCAGAGTACATCATACTAGTAGAAGCTGGCCAGCAGAACGGCTGGCTGGGCCGGAGATACGGATGCTGACGGGCCAATCTCAAGCTCCAGACCAGTTTCACTGCAGACTCTTAGTCCTGCTTGGATTTTTGTAGCTGACACCATAACAGAAGAAAAACCAGTGTGTACGCCAGCGTGGGACACAAAACTTTCCTCACATATAACGTTGCCATCAGAAAACAGCTGACCAGTAAGGCTTTCTCCACTCTGACACTGTGTGTGTGTGTGTGTGTGTTGTGTAGCTGTTGCAATTTAATGTGTTTGCATTTAGATTGCACGCAAAGAAAAGAGTCATGTTGGAGGTGAAGAAGGTGGAATTACCCATCGGCATATTTTTCACAAATACCCTTAAAAAACAGTTGAATCTTGGTGCATCCTCAGTGTAATCAGGCCATTGTGTTTGAGAATGCAGCTTCTTTGTCTTTTTGGATTTATGGTGGACTACAAACTGGGAATTGTATTGCTGCCTCCAGATGATATCAGATTTTTTGTACGTGTTTTGTAAAATGACACTTACTGTGACCATTATTTGTGAATTTACGGCTTGTTGTGGATTAAAACGTAGACTAACGTTACTTTGACACACAAGCACTGTACAGTTTGCAGCTCAAAACATATCATTTAGGCTGTAAAATGAGATTATTACAGTCATAATGTAAGCTCGAAGACTTTATGAACGCTGTCTTGGAGGGTAGTTGAAGATATTCCTCTGAAGAATATCTCATTTCTGCATTATACATTCAGCAAAACAGTGGCTTGTGATGCGTTTTTTTTTTTAATGTCTGCCAGCAATATTTCACATCTGTAACTGCATTATACATCGAGATAAGAAAGATGAAAGGGCAAGTGAGGGGTGGAGAGAGAGAGAGAGATGTTCAACACACATAGAAGCACTGTATCTGACTGAAAGGATTAGCACAGAGACAAGTATGCTCATACTGCTTCCAAACTTTATTAACAACTTAAAAGAAGTTAAGAACAGACTTTAATTGGATGAAATATGCACAATAAAGCAATTAATTTTACGCGGATTAGCAAATGCTGATAATACATGAAGGAAAACAAAAGAACAAAGACATTTTTGGGGGGGTTTGCAGTTTTTCAAACATTTTAGGGATTAAAATAAGCTACAGTATCATTATAATAGCTAATAACAGTCCAAAACCCCCAGATATCCAGTTTCTTAACCTGCAGATATTCACAGTTGAGATGCTGACACTATACACATTTATTTTCCGTTGATTGATAACTCCTGAAATGAGTCTGTTATCGACAATACACAGATCACTGACGTGTTGGTAAGCCAAAGGTCATGTGTGCTGGGAGATAGGTGTGGTCTGGCAAGTGGGTTTCTGTGTGTGTGTGTGTGTGTGTTTGTCTATTTATGTGTGTGTGTCCATTGAGCCGTGGCTGCTTTGATGTCTCCATTTTGATTTCCCTGTATGACGAATCTGTCGAGGAGTCGACAGGAGATTGATGTGAATGAATACAAAGTGTGTGAGTGTGTGTGTGTGTGTGTGTGTGTGTGTGTGTGAGAGAACGCTTGCAAGCATACCGTGCTACAGCTCTTCACTGCTCAGCAATCTAATCTGAGAGTAATCCATTTCTTGCAGATAATGACCTCTCTCTCTCTCTCTCTCTCTCTCTCTCTCTCTCTCTCTCTCTCTCGGCACACTTTGAAGTCATCACACAGATAAGCATGTCAGCGTGTGTGCGCGCTCTCTTTTATAGCTCTCGTGCCTCCTTCATTCATCTCCTCTTCTCTTTCAGGCCTCCGGGGCACTGACAGCAGTATATACCCGGTGATGGAGGAGAGCATGCTTGTGAGAAAACTTAAGGCCCCAGACAAAGAGACTCGCAGGAACATGGCCAGCAGACATGTCTCTCGTCGTGTGATAGAGTATGAATGAGAACTCCTCTGGAGACGGTGTGTGTGAGTGTGCCGAGACGCGCGTTTTGTTTTTATGAGGAGAGAGACGATGGCGGAGAAAACAAAGACCTCTCGAGAGAACTGTGTTCAACAGACCGGGAGACAAAGAGATGGAGAGATAAGATAGAGCGACCGAGACAAAAGAGAGAAAAGAAGGAGCGGGACGGAGATAGCGAGAGTCAGAAACAATTTATTTAGTCTGCGTACTCGGCTGGCTGGTGTGCTCTACTTAACCTCCAGTCCAAACCGCGCCTGTCGTCACACGCGCACACAAACGCCGGAAAAAAAAAAGCTCTCATCTTTACTGATATCTCGGAGGACGTCCACCCCGAGCTGGCGTGTTTTTTTCACAGCCCAAAAACTCTGCTCTTCTTAAAATGTTCTCCAGCGTGGATTAATCTAAAACTCCAGCCCTGCGTTTTATTGCAAATAGGGAAAAGAAATGTGCTTTTGGACTTTCTGTCACCCCCAGCTTTTTCTATGATCTCTCATTTGAAGTGATGATATTACTGCTGCAGCTGATGATTACTTCCTAGAGATGTGCCGATTCGGATATGGCTCTGTTACTGACTTAAATAGCTGGATCGGGTTGTTGGATACCATTATTGTTCATGAATAACAATTCAGTACATTTGCATTGATGTATTTATTTGTTCACAATTTGTTTTACAATATTAGGAAAGCAATGTTTGAGTCACAAGCTAATGTTGCCTTACACATAAAAGTATAAACCCAATCACTTCCACACAATGCTTAATAATACAGCGTATTAATTAAACAATTCATTAAGTGTTGGATTGGTACTTTGTGTCGGCCGATACCTAAAGCACAGGTGTCGCTATCAGGACTGAAAAAGTTGGATCGGTGCATCCCTAATATTTTCTTTGTTGGTTAAGTCACAGATGATTTAAAAATATAATTATTTGTTTTATAAAATATAAGAACGTAGTAAAAAATTCCCATATTAATTTCCTTAAACCCAAGATGGCATTTTCACATTGCTCGTTTTGTCCGACTGACAATCCAAATAATTGTTGGTAGGTGGATGTTGTTACCTTTGGACGGAGCCATGCTTACTTAGTTTTTATGCTAAGCTAAGCTAACCGGCTGCTTGCTGTAGCGTTGTATATTTGAATGCACACATATGAGAGTGATATCGATTTTCTGCTCCAACTTTCTGCAAAAATGTGTATTCCTGTAATGAAGAGTGTTGTAGGTGAGCTGTGATACAGCTACTTGCTTCGAATGCAGTTTGTGTGCATGTGTGTGTCCTCGCTTGCCATTATGTGTGTGTGTGTGTGTGTGTGTGTGTGTGTGTGAGTCCCAGATAGTGTCATCGCTCTAATGAGGATCACACACACCACTTTGCATCTCTCTCATCATCTATCTCATTTTCCTGCTACTCAAAGACATGCGTCGTTCCTCTCCCTCTCCGTCTCTGTCTCACTCACTTTCTTTCTCTTTTTCACGATTACAATTAAAATGATTTCACTGGCTCATCGCTCTCCCGCTCCATCCGTCACGCTCATATCCCCCGTCATGTATTCATTCATACACTGGTGTGATTGGTTCAGCCTCCCTCTCTTCTCTCTCTCCTCTTGCGCGTTAACTTATTTATATTTCCTCATCCACATCCATCCTCCGCAGTTGCTTAGGTGCTTTTCATTTGTTCCATCATGTGATCTCTCTGTATCGCACCATTCGTCATCGGGTGAAGGACTGCAGAGATTTCTAGCTTCTAGGTTCACTGACTGAGCTCACAGACCTGTTGCACTCCTATTGCAGGAGGTTCTTGCTTTGGCAAATGAATAGCTCTGCACTGCAATAAGAAACAGAAAATAGCTTGCATCCAAGCTGTTCCTTAATGTTTATTTAAAAGAGCGTTCCCTCTAGCTTTGGTGCAGCTTTTGTCGGAGTTACCTAAATGAAGTGTATCCTGTTGAGTTGAGTTTTGCTCCGATTACATTAATTAATTACTCTTATTAGATTTTTTCTTGCGGTGCTTTTGTTGCAGTAAGTAGTAGTAGTAAAGATTCATTTTGGTCTCACCAGACCATCGAAACGTCTTCCGCTATGTTTTACCATTATTTGCTCGATAGCTATATTATTGAGGATCGCTGTACCACATGTTTTTTTTTTCTATTCCACCTGTTCAGTGTCTTTCAACTGATTGGCACTTTTCAAAAGCACTTTCACAGATTTCTTTAAAATATGACATGTCACAGGTGTACATAGCACAATGAATGAATTCCATGTAGCTGCTGTCGTGCGTAATGGCTCACTGTTACACTGTCATGGCTCACTGGGGCACTTGAATAGAACAGAGACACCATTAATGGTATTAGCACCTGTGTCTTTTCTACTACTGACGAGTGAGAACGTGTGTGAAAAAGGCAAGCAGTTGACTAGCCAGCTATTGGAAACTGCAGATACGGGTGTATTGAACCTAAACTCCCTTGTCACACCGTGGTTACACATAAACGATCTCTCCATTCAACCAGTGGTAACTCAGGTGTGTCAGTGTAAAGGTGGTAAATATTCATGCAACAGTCATTCTTTGCTTTGTGTTGATTTAATTTAGATTGTTCACTTTGACTTCAAAGAGTCTTTGTCCGTTGATCAGTGTCATAAACGCTCTTTAAGCCACAGTGATTCATTGTTGTAAAACAATAAAACGGTTCAGGGAGGTCAATGTCTTTTGGACACTGTAAAGTTTTCCCTGCGTCATATTTAGGGTTCCTTTCATCTAAAAGCTTTTAATCTTCGAGATATCTTTAAGTACTGTGGTTAAATGTTATTAAAATATTACATTTTGGCTGCATATCAACAGTAAAAACACAATACAGATGTATTTTTGAAGCTGGTGCAACATCATTACTTTATGATAATGGAACGTGTGATTCAGTACTAAATATTCTGTCTCAGTACAGCACACTTCACTAACAGTAACCTGAACATTGTGACATTGAGAATTGTGAAAAGCTTAATAATCAATTCAGTCATTTCACATTCATGTTGTATTTGAGTTAAACACTAACAATCAATTTGAATCTCGACAGTAAGTGTGTCACCATGGTGTCATCACGGTCATCTAGCTCCTCTGGCAGTAGCACCGTGATAATCCAGAGAGATTACGACTTCATTTCCTGTTGGGGGAAGTAGAGGTGGAGTGATGACGCCCGGGGCAAAGACTGCAGCATGACAGTAGAAGAGATGTATATTATGCTGACTGTTATATTGTGACAGTCGAAGTGACAATCGCACAGGAATTTAATTTATAGCTGTTGATTTGATGAGTGTTTGAGTGAAGGTCAGATTATCATCAAACACTTTAAGTTTGGCAACGTGTAATGCAGTGAAGTGTGAGTGTTTGAGCAATGGTTGTTGCTGCTGGTGGTTCAAACAAAACCTGACTAATGGTAAAACTGGTCTTTCTCATCTTACAGTCTTGTTGGTTTAGTGTATTTACTGTGTGTGTGTCATTGTGTGTTGCTCTGACAGCTTGTGTGTATTGTGTTTCAACAGCAATCACCTGACACGATCCCCGGACCAAGCACTGGACCTACAGTACACAAGGTAAGGAAACACACACACACACACACACCCGAGTGATGTCATCCTTTTAGTTTTGCAATGAAGCAAAGGTGTGTTTGTTTAACCCCAATACAGGTGACATCAGTGGTGATATTACCTTGGGGTTTTTTCCTAGCTAGTTTCACCAACTACACACACACACGCGCGCACACACACACACACATTCTCAGGGAGAGTCTTAATTTGACATGCATCAATATAATGCGGTTAAGCAAATATCTGGTACTGCAACTCTGAAAAGGCCTTGGGTCTTAAATATCTCACTGGAGTACATTTCTCTTTGAACATGAAAAACATTTGCTTTTGAAATAAAACGTTTTTAAAGCTTGGATGCTGCTTATTTATGTGCACTGCGGTCCAAAACAATCTTTGTTTCTGCTTGGTAGTTTGTTCCTCAGCACTGTTGTATTCTTATCGGTTGTATTTCACTAGATTTTATATCTTGCCTCAATGAAAATGTTTATATCGTGATATTACACAGAGCAGTGTGACGCTGGTAAAAGGCCTTGCCCATGAGCACCTGTCCAGCAAGCTTATTGCACAGTTAACAATTAAATTAATTCAATTGTAAATTGTGTCTGTCCAGTACTGCAGTGCGCATAGACTGCGATACTCTGAATATGACGATGACTAATCAGCACCTGAACATAATTTCATTGTTCCCTGTTGAGTTTTCTTGAAGACAAACCCAGTTGTTATGTTTACAGTCAATGTTTCACCACAGTGTCTCTTGGCACATTATGTAACAAACCGTCAGGAAAAGTGCAAAACCATCTGGAAAAATGTGTATTGTGTCAACTATGTGCTTTAGGGTTTGCAGGTGCTTCCTTTTGCATGTGCACAACAAAAGAGAACCACCCTACGATATTACCAGGGGACCCCATGTCATTTAGAAATTACCCCCACGTCTATATTTTTGCATAGGGACGAGCAATTTTTGTATTGCACTCAAATTTACTGACATTTTCATTCGTGCAAATGTTGATCTCCATGCTGTGGAGCAAGATCAGCCCCCTGAGTTTGCACCCAAAATGCTGTTTTTAAACTTTTATATATAATTGCCTCCATAATTCTCGACAGGGAAAGTGGCAAAAAGGCGCAGAGTAAACAAAAAGCGAGCACAAGATGCTGATTTTGCATTTATCACATGACCTCTGACTTTGGCGAAATACGGTACGATAATTTGAGGGGGAATTTCTATTGACAAATTCGGCAGATGAGACTACGATCACTGACGACCTCCACAATCATTACAAACTACTAAAGGTCCCCATGGAATACTAGTCCCGTTGTAATACATGTGACCATTTATGACATGCCCTACCATCCTAATATAAATGTTATATAAGAATATGACTTTCAGTGCAGTCATCTGCAAGCTCTGCTTCCACGAGGGAGTCTCTGAACATAACGTGCGCGGAGCCTCGTCTGTCACATGTAACCGTGAATATGAATGAAACAGAACAAGCGGCCCATGTAAACAGCTTAATTTAAATACGGTACCGTAGCGTCAATAGCGAGATTCTTGCAGGGCATGTAGACAAAGTCAGTGTTTAAATCCTCAGGGGGAAAGAGATGGAGCTGTCCTTGCGAGCGCGTCAATGACAGCATGTAGCCACACGAGCTCTCTGCAGTCTCACGTCCATGTGCAAAATCATGGTGGGATGCATTTGTACATTTTCTGGTGTTCAGATTTGAATACAAATACTTCTCTGTGTGTGTCAGTCATGTTCCCAGAGTTTTCCATGTGCTGGTCGGGCTGTGAGGAATGCCTTCCTCTCTCATGGACCATACCCGGCTAAAGACAAGATACACCTGGCCAGAATCATACGGTACACTTGTCTCTGTGTTTGTGTGTCGGTCTGTGTGCAGAGATCAATCGATGTGTCTGGCTAAGCATGTACACACTGACTCACCAGTCACTGTTGAGCCCTGTTCCGATTGGCCAGTCCAGTTGTTTATGCAGTAAGACGAGCAAAGCGTGACGTAGACGTTTTATAGCGGAGCACAAGATGCTCTGGGAATACATGCAATATAGTGCACATACAATGAATACAGATGCATGCAAAGACCATATGAACATCTGGACACAAATATAAATAGGTACTCTCAACAGTCATCAAAAGTACACCCACACAAACACACACACACACATACACAAGGAGTTTATCCTTAGGGGAAGCAGACGGAAAGTATTCAATGTATTCGGAGGAAAAGGCTTAGAGAGAACTAATGAATAATCAATGGTTATTGATTAAATAAGAAAAGACAAGCTTTGTGCAGAGGGAAGAACTGTGTGTGTGTGTGTGTGTTTATCATAACACTGTGCTTGTGTGCTGAAAATGTGTGTGTGTGTGTGTGTATTTTAACAGGCGCAGCTACGTGGGCGTGGAGCTGGTGCAGTGGCTGTGTGAGCAGTGTGTGTACGTGCGCTGCCGGACCACTGCTGTGCGCGTCTGGCAGGTGCTGCTGGAGCTGGGAGTCCTGCTGTCTGGTAACAACACAACTACACACAAACGCACACATTCGCAAACACGCTAACACGACTAGAGGTTGCAGTGCGCTTCAAAATGTATAGTCACCTTCCAGTGACATCGGCCACAATCTACACACGCTGTAAAAAGACAAATGATGAACCAGTTGACCGGGTAATTTCAGGCACGATAAAGAGATGAGTTCACTGCTTCATTCACCTGCTTAACTTTCCATAAGGTACTTTAAATGTATCCAAGCGCCCCAATAATACCCCGAAACATCCTCTTTCATTATTCACCAAACACCATGTTAACAGCTAATATTTACACACTAAAGCTTGTAATATACTGAATCTACTATCACTGTGGATATGATCCGTATGTCTGTATTCAATAGAGCTGATAAAGAAGAAAGTTAATTGTGTTTATATTATTCATTTTACGTTTACCCTGTGTTGTGTTGAAGGTACACTCAGTATGCTATGGATGACACATTATATTTCTTTAAAGAATGAAGACTACAACTTGAAGACTTGAAGTTATTTGATTTAAATGTGAATGATATATACTTACTTCTTGATAAACTGTACAAATATACACAAACAATACCACTCGTGCATCATTCTTCCGTTATTGTGATGAAGAGTGAAGAAATGTCACTGTAATGATCTTTTTATATACCTTCATCAGGTATTATTATGGGATGAACACCACGTTTGTTAAAGTATTCACACATTATCACTGTGAAAATGATAATAGGAATGTAGGAAGCTGCTACTTCTCACTTTGTTTTTCTGTCTCTATTCTTTCTCCAGTGGACCAGCGGGTGATGTTTTCAGATTCCAACTCTTATTACCAGTTCAGCTTTGAGGAGTGTGACTCCGCCTCCTGTGACTTTCGCTCCAATGAGGGGGAGTGGTCAGAGGCGGTTAGGCTCCTCCTTCAACTCGCCCCATACATCCAGTTTCGCTCTGGAGGCGGGGCCAACAGCCCGTAAGTGTCCAATAAAATCTCATTGCAAGTTATGGATGGTAGGGCGCTGAATTTTGTAAAAAAAAAATCAAGTTCGAATCAACACTTAGTTTTGATTAAATAATCCTCAACTACTAGCATACACTAATATGAATATTTATATAAGTATTAGTTAGAATGTTGAGCATAGTTGCTGGTGAACGTGACTCAGTTGTAACACACTGGACGATCTCCATTGGAAGCTAGTTGCTCTGATAACATATCAAAGTGGAAGTGACAGTGTTCCCATTTCGATATATGATTGAGGTCATTTGTCCGTCTGATGTTTCAACATGAGAAGTGACAAGTCGCAGGGTTTGATTTGGTGGAAGTGTGGGCGAGCACGCTCGCAAGTGCATTTCTGTTCATAATGTACGCTCACACATACACACACTCTCCAAAGATCATCCCCAAATCCCAGCTCGAAACTTAATCTCTATTCAGTGTTTTAAATCCTAAATCTAATGCACAAAATCTGACTCATGATGTGATACACACACACACACACACCCTCACACACACACACATGCAGAGTGGTGTCAGCTAGGGTTCCCAGCTTTTCTGCTCCTGTGTGTGGGATTCCTGCTGAGGCTGCCACTGAACTCAATCTGTCACTCAGAGAAAGAGAGGGAGACGGGTAACAAAAAAACAAAAAAAAAAAATAAATAAAAAAAAAAAAAAAAATAAATAAATATATATATATATATATATATATATGGAGAGCATGTGTGTCAACTTCAAAAAGCGTATTTGTAGACACCAGGGAGAGAGCACGACAGCGAGGGGAATTGAATGTCATACTTGCTAATATGAATCTCATGTAACATTCTGTATGTACCTCTATGTTACTTTCTATGTAGTGCAAGCCATGCATAATTAGTGGCACTCCAACCAAGTGTTTCCACAGCGTGCAGAGGAATGGGTGGAAGACATGGTGGCTATTTGCATTTTAGGTCCCCCCCCCCCCTGGCTTTTACCTGTAGTTCTCTGGTGTGACAGCAGAAAGCTGAACAACAGACCAGAATTTAATTTACAAACCTGAGGAGTCTGCATAAATGTATCATGTTGTGTTTTTCATGTATTCTTAGTCATATGAAGGGATGTACAAATATTTTGTAGGTATTTACTCAAAGCGACATCCGAAAAAAGTGCTGTTTTTTCATTTTCTTAGATTAGACACAGTTGATATTATGCATTCAACATTCTCACTCGTCTGTCACTTTGACCCCGCTGCTGTCTGTGTCTCTCTTTGACTGAGGCACCATTTCTCTGCAGGCATCCTCTCGTCTCCCCCCCGCTCTTTGTCCCTCGCTCTCTTGTTGGCGTAAAGGAGAATAGTTGTATCTGGGGGGGGGGGGGAAACACCAGATGTATTCCACTGGCTGCTTCCAAGAGACTTTACGATGCATTGGTTAACACAATAACCCGTTGGTTAACGCTGAGTCTTGATTCCTGAGACAAAAGGTCCAGAGGGCTCATAAAATGCAGTAATTTAAATAAAATCCTGGCAGTGTGCACCGTCTAAACCTGCCCAGGCGAACAACTGTTTGTTCAACCACCTGAAAGCAAAGCTTAAGGCTGAGCTAATAATGAAATGAAACATTTTAACCAATGCTTTTAGAAATGCCTCAGATATGGTGTATGTTTTCTAGTCAGAATTCTTCTTATCTTCAAAGAAAGCATGCATGTTCTCAACCTCTCGTTAACAAATTTAAAATCAGGAGAAATACACTATTTTTGAAGTTGCTGCGTCACGATTTCAAATGCAGCCGTGTGTAACTGATGCTCATGCTGCTCATGAATTTGGGCTCCCGGTCTCTTGCTGTAGTTTAATCTAATGAGGCAAGCATTAAATTGATACTGATGACTTGATAGGGCAACATAGCTGACTGTTACGCCTCCTGCCGGTGATTTCTACATTAGTGAAGTCTAACAACAACAACGCGCTACTAATTAAATGGGTTATCTCCTCTGCATCGTGTGTGGAAGATGTTCCTGTGTGAGTGTCATTATTCAGTTTGTGTCAACACTGCCAGCGTGTCTCAACGGACTGCTGTGTCTGAAGAATAGAATTGTGCTCTACCAGCAGGCACAATGTGGTCATTAAAGTTGATTAGTTTATTGTTCATTGTTCTCTGCTAGAGTCTCATGGTCTTCTAAATCTTGAAAGTTGAAAAGTTATTTTAACTGAGAGTCTCATATATAGTATAAAAAACTCTCTCTCTCTCTCTCTGTCTGTCTGTCTGTCTGCAATTCTGTTTCAATCTACTGAGCTTTATTGGCAAGAAAGTCTCTCTGTCTACTTGTCTCTCTTCCTCTGTGTCTCACATTACAGTAAGGGCAAAACTTGCATATATAGTGCTTTTTAGAAGAGCTGTGTAAGGAGGGGCATTACAGTTATGAAAAGATGTCCTGCACACTGGCCCCTGCAGCAAAAGTCCCCACATTTGTTCATTTAAAGTTAAATCCATGTCAAGTTTAGATTGTCAGAGCGTGAACTGATTACTATCTAGCACACTAAACTTAAGGCACTGATTTCAATCCTTTTCTGTACAGTATATCAGTTGCACACAACTTCTGTATTCACACAAAACACAAGGGAGGGACACAGTATAATGTAATCCAATACAAGTGCCCTGTAACAAAAACGTTGAAAGCAATATGTTCAGAGTATATTGGGAATGTCTAATATCTGCCACCCTGTATAAAACAATTATTACTACAACAACAACTTGAACTACAGTGTCGGCTTTGCAAATACACATTTTCCGGCAGCGCTATTACTGAATATTTGATGCACAAATCTTTGTACTTTGTCCCCCACACTAACGCCGCCCCACTGCATATGATATAGCAATTAGGTTGCCAGTTTTCCTGCATTTGAAATACTTGCATAACCTTTCAATTCGGATCACAACAACATGTGCATTTGCAGTAGATGGTTTAGAGTGTGTGCTTGCATTTTTCTTGCTTCAGGAATCTAGTTAAACAATAGGTTGGTTTAAATGGGATCTGTTCTGGTAAATCACAGAACACGACTCCAACCAGCAGCCTTCTTTAGGCACTGATCACAATAATTCTCTTTCAATACTGTTCTGCGCTGCTTAATGATTGGTGACACACCTCCCACTGTGCCTCTCCTCCAGCTCTGGTCCATTCAGGCTCATGGTGAGTCACCAAATTGCTAAACGAACGGCGGCCAAAGAAACCTAATGACCCAGATGAGAATAACTGCAGCATGATGAGAAATAGACTTTGTCCATCTCACGACCCACTAATGGACAACAAAAGATAAAAAATCCCCCAGCATTAAATTGCATTGACAACTTGATAATTTGCCCTCTGTGAGATGTTTGCGCATCAGTCCTGAGATTGGAGTCGTTTTCATCCTGAAAGGAAAGCACAAGCAGCCAACCGCTTTTATTGTGACAGTAAAAATCTGTTATTTTCACACTCCTTTAAGGCATCTATTGGTGTACCTGCCTCCGTCTCTCTCTGTCCGTGTCAGAGCCGATAGCTGAAGTGTCAGGCTGTGGGCGACATGTTATCACCATCTCCCCCGCTTCTGCATCTATCATTCTCTTATCAGATTACAGTGAAAACTCACA